AAGTGTATAGGGAATGCAAGAAGAACATAATCACATGGTAGAAAATGCAAGAGCACAAAGGAAGCAGAGAATAATGGATGGGACGCTTCTGAGAATATTTTGGTATTTGGCTCTAATAAATTAGATATAAGTTCCAGTTGTTTGTGTAATTGGTGACTAGTGATTTGACCGCTGGCCATCAAGGTACATACAGACTCGTCCTTTACTATCAAGTCACGGTGGTCGTCTCTTTACATTCTAGAAAACAAACAAATCCCTCCATTGTGGATCTAGTTGAGGGCTTTCGTTTCTTGAAAAGCAGTAGTCCTTGATCAGCACCTTATTGCTCAGCCCTTAAGGGAAGTTAATCACATGCACTGAGTCAGAAAGAACAATGCTTCTGAATGTGTGTGCGAATACACACACACACACACATATGCATGTGTACTCAGTGTCCCAAAAGTCCCCATGCATAGCATGCAGGTACAGCTGCACCAGGAGCTCCAATTTTGTTTGCTTTGCATTTAATATTTGTTTGCAGTCCTAAGTTTCAGGGACTCTGCAGATAGGTGGCTTCTTTTGGCTGCAATCATAGGGCAAGCCACCTGTCAATTATAGTTAGGTTCCCTGGCCCCACCCCCTTTTGGGGTTTTTGGAGGGAATAGGAGCCAGTTCAGTCCACGCAGAGAAGCTTTCCATACAGGACATAAAACCAAGAGCTCCTGTAGAAAGCTTCGTCTTCTACGGCTTGGTTGGGGAGATATACAGCCTACAACTTGGTAGGGGTTATACAGCCCACAGCTTGGCCGAGGATCATACAGCCTTACAGCTCCTTTGCTCAAGGACTTCAGCCAGCCATCACGGAAACCTGAACTCCTTCTTTTCCCCTGGAAGTCTACAAAGCTCTGCTTGGTATGGGTCGCTCGCGGAAGCCAGACGCAGTTGGGTGCAGGGGCTCCACGCCAACAGAGGCAAGTACAGACTGCCGAGATTAGAAGTTAAGTATTTCCTCATTAGTTAATTACAGTTAAGAAGATAGTGCCTGTTCCCAGTGAACAAGATTGCAAGAGCCAATAGACTGTTAAGAAAGCTTGAAAGTACCTGTTTGTTTTCATCAATAAAGAACTTTGTTGGATTTACTTTAAGCAATCTAAAGACTCTGTTTGGGGGAAATCTAAGAGCCTTTAATCTGAGGCAGCCCCGGCATCCCATTGGGCACACAGAATTTATGTCCTGTCTACAGTCATATGCACAGGCCCAGCGTGCGACAGCACACATAGGAAAAATTAACACTCAGATTACATATTTTAAGTAGATTATATGTACTGGTGTGTATGTGTGTGCGCGTATGTGTGAATATACACATACTATTTATATACTTTGTATGTAAATACTGTATGTATAATAGCAATATACACTTAGTACTTATATACTATATAAATATACATTTAGCATTTATATAGTTTGTATTTATATATATATATTATGTTGCATATCCTTTGATGCAAATATTAAAATAGACTATATTTATATTAGCAAAAGACTGCAATCAATATTTTGTAAATTGACCTTTTGCTACAATTTCCCATATGTATGTGGACTTTTGGGACTCACACACACATAGTATGTGTGTGTGTGTGTGTGTGTATACATATATATATATATATAGAGAGAGAGAGAGAGCATCAAATAAATAATTGCAACGCTCACAAAAATAGAAATATATATATATATATAGCTTTTCATACATATAGCTTTATATAAATATAAATATGCAGTGTATAAATATACATAAACACACATATATACTATACACAACACACACACATATACACATACACAACATATATAGTGCACTGCATATGTATGTCTATATATGTGTCTATATAGACATATGAAAAATAATGTGTTTGTGTGTATATATGGTGTGTGTTATATACATATATATGTATGGTATACTGCATATTTATATATAGACATAGATGAATAACTGTGTTTTGTGTTGTGTATACATATATATATATATATATATGTGTGTCTGTGTGTGTTGTGTGCATATATAGGTATGTATAGTATACTGCATATTTATATACAGACATAGATATAAATATAAATGTCTATATATAGACATATATGAAAAACTATGTGTTGTGTGTTTATGTGTGGTATATGTCTGTATATATACACAAAACATATGCATACATATACACATAACACATATATCGTGATTCTATATAAATATATAGAATACTGCACTTATATACATATATATGAAAAGCTATGTGTTGTGTGTATATGCATATATGTTGAGTGTTTATATAGTTATGTATAGTATTTTGCATATTTATGTATAGACATATATATGAAAAGCTGTGTTGTGTGTGTATATATATGTTGAGTGTATATATAGGTATATATAATACTGCATATTTATGCATATTATTATTATTATTATTATTAAACTTTATTTGTACCCCGCTAGCATCTCCCGAAGGACTCGATGCAGCTTACAAAGGCCAAGGCCTCAACACACAATATAACAATAAGGCAAATTAAAACAATTAAAGCAATATAAACAACAAGCTATAAACAATACACTAAGACACAATAAAACTGGGCCAGGCCAGAGTAATGGGTACAGGATTAAAAGTGCTGATGTGACAGGTGGTATATAAGGCTTATAGGGTAAGTGCAAAGTGCAATGTGCAGCAATCTTAGTTCTAATAAAGTGCTTCTGGGACTTGGTATTGGAGATTTCCTAATCTGGGAAGGCACATTGGAACAGCCTGGTCTCCAAGTTCTTTCTAAAGACTGCCAATGTAGGGGCCTGTCTAAGATCTTTGGGGAGGGTGTTCCAGAGTCGGGGGGCCACCACAGAAAAGGCCCTGTCTCGTGTCCCCACCAAGCGCACTTGCGACGCAGGCGGGATCACGAGCAGGGCCTCTCCAGATGACTGAAGTGAACGCGTGGGTTCATACACGGAGATGCGGTCACGCATAGACATATATATATATATGAAAAGCTATGTGTTGCGTGATATATGTGTTGTGTATATGTTGTGTGCTCGAGTATATATTTCTATATACACAAACATATATACGCACATGAGAAACTAGACCAACCTGACTTGCCTTTGGGCTGAGAGAGGCGGTATATCATATAGTTTTTCATATATGTCTATATATCAATATAAATATGCAGTATACCATACATACATACATATATATAGATATATATATACACACACACATAATATATACATATATATGTTGTATATACACACACACATCACATATATACACACAAACACATTTTTCATATATATGTCTATATATAGACATTTATATTTATATCTATGTCTGTATATAAATATGCAATATACTATACATACCTATATATGAACACAACATATATATATATATATATATATACACACACACACACTAGCTGTCCCCTGCTGTGCGTTGCTGTGGCCCAGTCTGTTGATCTAGTAATAAAGTAATGAGAAAGTGTTGGTTTCTAATATATGTAATGTCTTTGTGCTTGTGGGTAAACAGTATTTCTTGCTGTTTCTTTGTCAGTGTTGATGTGGAGAGTGTCTGGTTTGCCCACCCTGGAACATGCAACATATCATTGTCCTTCTTTAAGGGTCCCTTTCAAATCTATGATACTATATCTCTCTGTGTGTGAATCATATCTATCTATCTATCTATCTATCTATCTATCTATCCATCTATCTCTATGGCTGGATGGCTCTTTGTCTGGAGGGCTTTGATTACGTTTTGTTGCCCTGATGAAGGGAGTTGGATTGGATGGCCTTAAGTATTTTCTGTTGGTCATGGGGGTTCTGTGTGGGAAGTTTGCCCTGATCTGTCAGTTGTGGGGTTCAGAATGCTCTTTGATTGTAGGTGAACTGTGAATCCCAGTGACTACAACTCCCAAATGTCAAGGTCTATTTCCCCAAACTCCATCTGTGTTCATATTTGGGCATATTGAGTGCTTGTGCCAAGTTTGGTCCAGATCCATCATTGTTTGAGTCCACAGTGCTCTCTGGATGTAGGTGAACTACAACTCCCAAACTCAAGGTCAATGCCCACCAAACCCTTCCAGTATTTTCTGTTGGTCATGGGAGTTCTGTGTCAAGTTTGGTTCAATTCCATAATTGGTGGAGTTCAGAATGCTCTTTGATTGTAGGTGAACTATAAATCCCAGCAACTACAACTCCCAAATGACAAAATCATAATTTTTTGCGTGATGGTCACTCCTTGTGTTGTGAGACGTTTTGTTGCCAAATTTGGTGTGATTTCGTTCATTGGTTCTTTTGTTTTTAAGGTACTCATTATGTACAGAGCATACATATATATATATATATATATATATATATATATATATATATGATACTATATCTCTCTGTGTGTGAATCATATCTATCTATCTATCTATCTATCCTATCTATCTCTATCTATGGCTGGGGCTTTGTACCTTTATTACATATATATATATATGTATATATATGTATATATATGTGTGTGTATATATATATATATGTATATATGTGTGTGTGTATATATATACACACACACACACACACATATATATACATATATATACATATATATATATATGTAATAAATATTGTATATACAGACAATATATATGTATACACACACATATATATGTATATGCATACAATATATATCAATATATATATACAATAAGCCAACTCCCCGAAGGCCCTTTCCCCATGCCAATTTATAAATGTGATCCCCTTTCGCTGTGCCACACCCAAGATGGCGGTCCGCAGCCCCTCCCTTCCTGAGAGTCGCTTGAAGAAGGCGCGCCCTCGGGCTCCACAAGATGGCGGCGGACAGGAAGGCTGGTGGTTCCCTTTCGTGCCACACTCAAGATGGCCGCCGAGGGACTGCGATCGCGGAGGCGAAAGGGGGCGGGGCGTGTTGCGTTCCCTTCCCGCCCTTCGGCGCGGCGGCGTCGTGACGTCACACGCGGCGTGGGGTTGCGTCGCCGTCCGCGCTGACGTGCGTGCGTGGAGGTGACGGAGCGGGCCGGACGCGTCCCTTTGTTGGCTCAGCGGCGCCTGGCAGAGGAGGAGGCGGCTTTGGGGAATCGCTCCGCCGAAGGAAGGCAGGCAGGCAGGAAGGCGGGCTAGGCCGCAGCCCTCCCTCGCGTCCCTCCCTCCCTTCCTCCCGTCAGTCCCTTAGCCGGGGCCTGCCCGGCGCCTTCGCTCCTCCTCCTCGGCCTAGGCCTCAGCGGCCTCCTCCTCCTCCCCTTTCTCGCCGCCACCATGGACTCGGACGAGGGCTACAACTACGAGTTCGACGAGGACGAGGAGTGCAGCGAGGACAGCGGCGCTGAGGAGGACGACGACGACGACGAGCCCGACGACGACCCCGACGACGGCAACCTGGACCTGGGCGAGGTGGAGCTGGTCGAGCCCGGCGTGGGCGGAGAGAGGGACGGCCTACTCGGCGGAGAGACCGGCGGGGGAGGCCTCGGGCCCGGAGGAGGAGGAGGCGGCGGAGGAGGAGGAGGGGGCCTCGGGGGAAGCAGCGGCCTGGGCGGGCCCGGCTCCGGAGGGGGACTAGGCCACGACCAGGAGGAGGACTACCGCTACGAGGTGCTGACGGCCGAGCAGATCCTGCAGCACATGGTGGAGTGCATCCGGGAGGTCAACGAGGTCATCCAGGTGCGCGCGCAGGGGCGGCGGGGGCGCGCTTCCTCGGCGGGAAGGAAGGATGGATGGAGGGAAGGAAGGAAGGAGGGAGGCCTCGTCCTCCTCCTCCTCCTCCAGGCACGCCTTTCTTCCTCTCAGCCTCCCTCCCTTGCTTTCTCTACTCTCCTCCTTTTCCTCCATCTCTTTTCTATCCTTCTAATTCTTTATATCCAACTCTTGAACCAGACTGATAGGAATTGTGGGAGTTGTGACTGATAGGAATTGTGGGAGTTGTAGTCCAAAACACTTGGTTCCTCCTCCTCCAGGCATGCCTTTCTTCTCCCTCCCACCCTCCCTCCCTTGCTTTCTCTACTCTCCTTTTCCTGCATCTCTTTCCTATCCTTCTAATTATTTATATCCAACTCTTGAACCAGACTGGTAGGAATTATGGGAGTTGTAGTCCAAAACACTTGGTTCCTCCCCCTCCAGGCATGCCTTTCTTCTCCCTCCCACGCTTTCTCAACTCTCCTCTTTCTGCATTTTTTTCCTATCCTTCTAATTCTTTATATTCAACTCTTGAACCAGATTGATAGGAATTGTGGGAGTTGTGACACTCAACAATTCTTTATTGATTAGTCAATTTTGACCATATCAAAACATACAGAGAATTGTGGGAGTTGTAGTGCAAAACACATGGTGCTTCCTCCTCCAGGCACACCTTTCTTCTCCCCCCCCATCTCCCTGCTTTCTCTACTTTCCTCCTTTCTCCTCTTCTTCCTTCATCTCTTTCCTATGAATAATATAAATCTAATTATTTATATCCCACTCTTAGACCAGACTGATTGGAATTGTGGGAGTTGTAGTCCAAAACACTTAGTACCTCCTCCTCCAGGCACGCCTTTCTTCTCCCTTCAACCCTCCCTTGCTTTCTCTCCTCTCCTCTTTCTGCATCTCTTTCCTAGCCTTCTAATTCTTTATATCCAACTCTTGAACCAGGCTGATAGGAATTGTGGGAGTTGTAGTCCAAAACACTTGGTTCCTCCTCCTCCAGGCATGCCTTTCTTCTCCCTCCCACGCTTTCTCAATTCTCCTCTTTTCTCCTCTTCCTGCATCTCTTTCCAATCCTTCTAATTCTTTATATCCCACTCTTAAACCAGACTGATAGGAATTGTGGGAGTTGTAGTCCAAAACACTTGGTACCTCCTCCAGGCACGCCTTTCTTCTCTCTCCAACTCTCCCTTGCTTTCTCTACTCTTCTCTTTCCTCCTCCTCTTCCTTCATCTTTTTCCTATAAATAATATAGACCAGACTGATTGGAATTGTGGGAGTTGTAGTCCAAAACACTTGGTGCCTGTTCGAACCTCTCCCTCACCTCCTTCTGTTTCTTTCTTTCCTACTCTCCTCCTTCCTCCTCCTCTTCCTTCATCTCTTTCCTATGAATAATGTAAGTCTAATTATTTGTATCCCGCTCTTAGACCAGACTGATAGGAATTGTGGGAGTTGAAATGCAAAACACATGGTGTCTGTTCGAACCTCTCCCTCACTTCCTTCTGTTTTTGTTTCTCTCCTGCGCTCCTCTTTTCTCCTCCTCTTTCTGTTCCTGCATCTCTTTGCTTTCCTTGTAATTATATCCCACTCTTAGACTAGACTGATAGGAATTCTGGGAGTTGGGGTCCAAAATACTTGGAACCTCCTGCTCCAGGCACGTCTTTCTTCTCCCTCTAACCCTCCCTTGCTTTCTCAACTCCTCTTTTTGCGTCTCTTTCCTATCCTTCTAATTATTTATATCCCACTCTTAAATCAGACTGATTGGAATTGTGGGAGTTGTAGTCCAAAAGACTTGGTTCCTCCCCCTCCAGGCATGCCTTTCTCCCTCCAACCACCCCTCCCTTGCTTTCTCTTCTCTCCTCCTTTTCCTGCATCTCTTTCCTATCCTTCTAATTCTTTATATCCAACTCTTGAACCAGACTGATAGGAATTGTGGGAGTTGTAGTCCAAAACACTTGGTTCCCCCTCCTCCAGGCATGCCTTTCTTCTCCCTCCCACGCTTTCTCTACTCTCCTCTTTTCTCCTTCTTTTCCTGCATCTCTTTCCTATCCTTCTAATTCTTTATATCCAACTCTTGAACCAGACTGATAGGAATTGTGGGAGTTGTGACACACAACAATTCTTTATTGATTAGTCAATTTTGACCATATCAAAACATACAGAGAGTTGTGGGAGTTGTAGTCCAAAACACTTGGTTCCTCCTCCAGGCATGCCTTTCTTCTCTCTCCAACCCTCCCTTGCTTTCTCTACTCTCCTCTTTTCTCCTCTTTCTGCATCTCTTTCCTATCCTTCTAATTCTTTATATCCCTCTCTTGAACCAGACTGATAGGAATTGTGGGAGTTGTAGTCCAAAAGACTTGGTTCCTCCTCCTCTGGCATGCCTTTCTTCTCCCTCCAACCCTCCCTCCCTTGCTTTCTCTACTCTCCTTTTCCTGCATCTCTTTCCAATCCTTCTAATTCTTTATATCCAACTCTTGAACCAGACTGATAGGAATTGTGGGAGTTGTAGTCCAAAACACTTGGTACCTCCTCCTCCAGGCACACCTTTCTTCTCCTTCCCATCCTCCCTTGCTTTCTCTAATCTCCGCTTTCTGCATCTCTTTCCTATCCTTCTAATTCTTTATATCCAACTCTTGAACCAGACTGATAGGAATTGTGGGAGTTGTGACACTCCACAATTCTTTATTGATTAGTCAATTTTGACCATATCAAAACATACAGAGAGTTGTGGGAGTTGTAGTCCAAAACACTTGGTACCTCCTTCTCCAGGCACGCCTTTCTTCTCCCTCCAATCCTCCCTTGCTTTCTCTACTCTCCTCTTTTCTCCTCCTCTTTCTACATCTCTTTCCTATCCTAATTATTTATATTCCACTCTTAAATCAGACTGATAGGAATTGTGGGAGTTGTAGTCCAAAACATTTGGTACCTCCTCCTCCTCCAGGCACGCCTTTCTTCTCCCTCCAACCTTCCCTTGCTTTCTCTACTCTCCTCTTTCTGCATCTCTTTCCTAGCCTTCTAATTCTTTATATCCAACTCTTGAACCAGTCTGATTGGAATTGTGGGAGTTGTAGTTCAAAACACATTATTTTATTATTATTATTAACTTTATTTGTACCCCACTAGCATCTCCCGAAAGACTCGATATGGCTTACAAAGGCCAAGGCCTCAAAACACAACATAACAATACACAACCTAAAGCAAATTAAAAACAGTAAAGCAATATTAAACAACAAGCAATAAGACAATACACCAAGACACAATAAAACTGGGCCAGGCCAGAGTATTGGGTACAGATTAAAAGTGCTGATGTGACAGGTGATATGTAGGATAATGGGGTAAGTTCAGTGTGCCAGCAATCTTAATTTCTAATAAAGTGCTTCTGGGACTTGTTGTTGGAGGATTCCTATTATGGAAAGGCACATTGGAACAGCCAGGTCTTCAAGTTCTTTCTAAAGACTGCCAACGTAGGGGCCTGTCTAAGATCTTTGGGGAGGGTGTTCCAGAGTCGGGGGGGGGGGGGGGGGGGGGCACCACGGAAAAGGCCCTGTCTCGCATCCCCACCAGACGCGCCTGCAACGCAGGCGGAATCGCGAGCAGGGCCTCACCAGATGAATGAAGTGAGCGCGTGGGTTCATACACGGAGATGTGTTCACGCAGGTAGGATGGTCCCAAACCGTTTAGGGCTTTGTAGGTAAGCACCTGCACCTTAGATTGGGCTCGGAAAATAAACAGCAGCCAGTGGAGCTCCTTGAACAGAAGGGTTGACATGGTACCTCCTCCTCCAGGCACACCTTTCTTCTCCCTCCCATCCTCCCTTGCTTTCTCTACTCTCCTCTTTCCTCCTGTTCTTCCTTCATCTCTTTCCTATAAATCATATAAATCTAATTATTTATATCCCACTCTTAGACCAGACTGATTGGAATTGTGGGAGTTGTAGTCCAAAACATTTGGGTGCCTGTTCGAACCTCTCCCTCACCACCTTCTGTTTCTTCCTCTCCTCCTCCTCTTCCTTCATCTCTTTCCTATAAATAATATAAATCTAATTATTTATATCCCACTCTTAGACCAGACTGATTGGAATTGTGGGAGTTGTAGTCCAAAACACTTGGTGCCTGTTTGAACCTCTCCCTCACCTCCTTCTGTTTCTTTCTCTCCTACTCTCCTCTTTTCTCCTCCTGTTCCTGCATCTCTTTGCTTTCCTTGTAATTATTTATATCCCACTCTTAGACCAGATTGATAGGAATTGTGGGAGTTGTATTCCAAAACATCTGGTGCCTTTTCTAACCTCTCCCTCAGCTTCTTCTGTTTATTTCTCTCCTACTCACCTCTTTTCTCGTCTTCCTGTTCCTGCATCTCTTTGCTCTCCTTGTAATTATTTATATCCTACTCTTAAACCATGTTGATAAGAATTGTGGGAGTTGTTGTCCAAAATACTTGGTGCACCTCAGCTCCTTCTGTTTATTTCTCTCCTACTCAGCTCTTTTCTCCTCTTCCTGTTCCTGCATCTCTTTGCTCTCCTTGTAATTATTTATATCCCACTCTTAAACCAGATTGATAGGAATTGTGGGAGTTGTTGTCCAAAATACCTGGTGCATCTCATCTCCTGTTGTTTTCTTTTGTTCCTCTCTTCTTGTATTGTTCTTTCTTTGCATCTCTCCATTCAGCCCTCCTTCCCCTCTCACTCCCCTTTCTCTTTATCTGTGGTTCCCAAGTTGTGTTCCATTGACCACCAGTGGTCCTCAAGAACTGAAACATGGTCCGTGACCTCACCATTACTACCCCGTTGCAACAAGAGCGACTAGTCTTGAAATGCCCTCTTATAGTACTGTAGCTTATTAAATATGGTTTTCTGTGGGCAAGCAGATGGCGAGTACTGTATGGTATATGTTTTGTATCAGCAACTAAAGCAACTGGTCTCGCAAAACCCTCTTATAGTTCCAAGGCAACAGTGTTTTTGTTTTTAGGCCTGTTCCTGGGGTTATTTG